GTAGTGCAAGCTGAAAACAACTTGATATGAAAGTATCTTCTCTTTTAGGGGTTCAATTATGTAGCAAACAATAATGTGGTTTGTTCAGTATTGGCTTAGCATGGTATGTGCTTGTCAGATTTTTATTTATTTATTAGATAGATTTCTTTGCTGCCCATTTTGCCTTATGGTGATTTTTAAAGAATGATATATGACTTGGCATTTTACAGGTTCCCCCATTAAGTTGATAAGAGTATCCAGCATATGTCTTCTAAGGCAACATTTGTAAAAATTCTGATGTTCATAATTTAGTGATTTAAGCATTGTCAGTCTCTATTATATAAAATACAGAGTCACAGCTTTCCCTAGATATCTCTCGTTGCCATGTCCTACTTCTTGATGTACTGATTGTTACATCATTATATTTCTGAGTCTCAAATTTCTCCTTGATACTTAAAATTCTTCTTGGAACTTGGAAGTATTTCAATTTTCAGTAATCTTTTTTTCAAGAGTGCAGTTATAGTTTTACATGCTAAGAAGCATACATGTGAAACTTAGTCCACTTCTAAGACTAATACTGTTGACCTTGAGTTCTGTGCTACTTTGTCTTCTGAATTTTTTTTCTTTTTGAATAAGTGATGCTTTGTTTAATACTACTAAGTTGAACTATAGCCCTAACCTTCTACCTTCTCCATCTTGTTTCCATTTTCTTTACACCTAAATCCTAAACTGTGATTAATTATAATTGTGGGCCGGAAAGATAGGCTATGCATTCAGTCTGAAATTGACTTGTTTGAAATTAATCATAGTTACAGTTAACTGCAGTGTGCCATGATCCATTGCAAACTGTTAGTCTAAAGCAGGGCTGTCAAACTCGCAGTCCATGGGCTCAATGTATCACACACTGGTCATGCCCATGCCTGGTTTAGCGAAGGGGAAAAAAGTCCCGATATATCACATGATGCCACTGTGCTGAACGAATTTGACATCCCTGATCTAAAACATTTTAAAAAAATCTTTTGCTATAGGAGATTGGGTGAGTGTAGCTAAGTTCTTTGAACAGCTGGATGAGCTACTGGTCAAATTGCTCATTTAATACACCATAAGTATAGAGGTGCCTCTCACCTGTTATCTCTTAGGCATGCTAATTTTGAATGTGGGTCTAAGCATCTTCTGGAAAAATGCTAAATTTATTTCTCAAAACAGCTAATCTGATTGATTGCATACATGGAGGAGAGCCGAAGGGAGAAGTGGAAAGAAAAAGGAGTTTTCCTGAAGGTTCTGCTCAGTATGGACTTTCCTCTTTGCTAGTGTCCTTGAAGTCAAGCTTTTTCTGAAGATGCTTTGGCACTCTTTCAAAAGAATGCTATAGATCAGAGGTCTCCAAACTTGGCAACTTTATGACTTGTGGACTTCAACTCCCAGAATTCCTCAGCCAGCAAAGCTAGCTGAAGAATTCTGGGAGTTGAAATCCACAAGTATTAAAGCTGCCAAGCTTGGGGACTCCTACTATAGATCCATGTTCGAAGAATTTGGCTCACTTGCAGTAGGCTCATCATGAAACAGAAGGAAGCAGTCAGGGATATGAGCGTTTCATCCTCAGCTAGTTCTACCATGGAACAACCAAAATGTCACAAAGTGTAGCTGTTTCCCATCCACCCCTCAAAACAACAGATGATATTGGTAAGTGAAAACCCTTTGTCAGTGGAAACATCAGAAAACCTACAAGATCCCTATTGAGGATAGAACCAAAACTATAGAGATAGCATAGCAAAACTCATTTCTTTCCTGTTTGAACTAACTTATGCAGCATTGAACTCATGTTTTCTCAAAAACACCCCCCCCCCGCAAACCCCATTAAACCCATGTAATAAGGAAACTTACAGTATTAAGATTTGTCAAATGCTTTGGAAGGTGCCTTCTGAAAACAACTGTGCTATGCAGCCAAAACCAAAATGGTCTTGGAGGCCGGTGTCCAGTGATTTGAGAGGAGAAGTCATACCTAAAGCAACCTAGAGTAGCCAGTGAGACTGGGAAATCCCAATCTCTAACCACATTGATTAATTTAACCACGTTGATTAAGAGTTCTAGATTGTATTCATTGTGTAGTAGAACAGAGAAACACAATTTGAGAATTGGGATGGGTGAAAATAGTTTTAAGTAGCCTCAGTTATGGGCTGGAGATGATATGATGGTCTGGGATGGCTGAAGATGGTCTTAAAGTATAGGTAGAAACATACAAGGAGGGGGATTCTTTCAGATTCTTTGACACCAAGCTGTGAAGGCATCACTTCTATTGAAAAGATACTACCTTGCCAACAGGGGGTAAAGAACATAGGTAGTTAATGCAAACAAAGCAGTACTTGGTGGATACAATTGTAATTTTAAATCTATAGTGGTTTAGTGAATTGCATATAAATAGCTGTTATAGGTTTATTATTTTGTTAATAACATGTTCATTTCTACAGTGGCTAGAGGAAATTCTGAGGTCTAGGATTGTGTGCTGATATTAGGATAACCCAAAGTATTAACTACATGCTTAGTAATGGAAGTTCCAATCCCAATCAAGGACTACCTGTAAGACAGTACAGCAATATTTGAGGTAGATTTAAACATTAAGGGTGACAAAAAGCTTTATTCCGGTATTAAAAGAATGGCCAGGAGAAACATCCTTCTATGGGGCTTAACAATAAAGTAAGTTACAGTGGGATAGGTTGCATTGCAAAGTGTTTAGTTTTGCTGTTGTGGAGAGCAGAACAGACACACAACAGTTTTATTTCAAGGAAGACTTAGTTCAGAGCTCAGTTGTAGATTCTGGATTGAAGAAAAGCTTGGATTAAATCTTACTCCCAATTCTGGGTAGAGCTGGGTGAACATAAATCAGAATGTGAATTTCCTGATTGTTAAAAATCTAGCAGTTATGCTTATAAATGGCCTAGCGTATCATATGACCCCAGCTATTCTGGTTATAGTCAATAAATGATGATTAAACAGATCACAGCTTAGCGTGTTTGTAAATGTAGGTGAACTTTTTGCTGATGAAAAATATATTTGGTCATCTACCTTTTAAATGTCTCAAGGAGAATTGCAGTAAACTGCATACATTCAACAGCAGAATGAAAACAGTTGAATGCAGCTTTGAAAGAATGTTGCATTATACCCGACAGGAACTGGTCATATGCAGCTGGAATGATGATTCATGAATAAATAAATATATTTACATTCTGATACACAGCTTATGTGTATTACAGATCAGTAATTCAGAACTATTCTTCATAGCCAAATTAATGTGCTATTTAACATTTTAGTGCTATACTCATGCCAACAGAAACTTATAATAGTATAACTTTTGCTATCCCGTTGGTAATCCCTAGCTTAGCAAACATTGCTATCTCTATATCACAGAGAACATGGTGTGGTTGGGGGGGGAGGATTCCCTTGCCTTCATTTTCCTTCCATTCCACCCAATATCACCAATTGGTGATATTCTGTGATTCTATCATCCTTCTTTGTAATCCGGGATAGGTTGGGCAAGAGGTAAGTTTTGACAGATGACTAAACTAGCAAGTTTAATCATTGTTCAAACTCATTCTGTAAATATTTTTTTATGAATATATTCAAAGGGAATAGTGCTTTCCTGGAATAGTTCAAAAATAATCCAATCAACAACGGAGTTCTATTTTGAAGTATCAGAAAGAGACCTGGGTTTCTCTGTCCTGCTTCCCTGCTTAGTCCCTGCCATCTTTGATGGTATCTGCTGCTGTTCAGAACAATCCATGCAAAATTATACAAAAAGCATAATTAGTCTCATAGCTTTTGTCATTAAAGTCATGGCTTCATAAGGCCTAACATTAGAACATCCATTGGACATTCAGAACAAGCTGACTGCATTTTGATCTGGGCAATTTCCCTGTCCTTGCTTTTTACATATTGTTGTTGTTCTGTTGATTAGTTTGGTTTGTTTATTATTTGATAAAACTGTTACTCTACTGGTAGTAATTTTAAATGTCTGGACTCCAGTAGGCCACTGTCATCCAAGCTGTAAATCAGATGCCGTCAGATGCAGTGATGAATAATATATAAAGCAAAGCTCAATAATAGTTGCATAGAACTTTACATGACATGTTCCAGAACTTCACCTGTCAGTTTTTTTCCTTGTTGCCGGATTTATGCTGCTGAGATAGGTTATTGCATCCTGCAATAACTTTTTATAAAAGATGTGCAGTTATTATTTTACAAAATCTAGAGTGTGTTTTCCTATTAGTCACATTTTCTTTATGCGTTAGTGGAGTTTATAATTGCATTCCTGTCCATTAAATTCTCTTTCCTTTCTCATTCCACTCAACCCTTGCCTATTCTCATGTACATTTTAAGCCTATAATTTTGATATAGCCATTTTTAAAAGTTTTCAACATTTTAGTCACATTCAGATAAAAGTAATATGTATAATGAATATAGAAAAGAAATAAGAATCCTAGATAATACTGTAAAGCAAGTTATGAGAATATTTTAAGAAAAATGAAATAAGTTATGAACTGAAATTTAATAAAATAGGTTTAATGAATATAATATTTGGGAATATTTAAAAGAAAACAGAATAAGTAATAACGTGATATGAATTTGAACAAGAAAGATGGATATATAACCATGGTGGCTAGATTGATGAAGAATTTAAATTGGGGTAAATTGGGGGAGAGGAGAGGAAGATAGGTTGGGTATGTAGATTCTGGTAACATATCAGATTACAAATCCTTTATCAATTGACAGTTGTATGTGTTAAAACCCCTTGTCTTTATTCTTGTATAATGATTGTTCCACAATAATTTGAGGAAAAGCTCAGCACTGTTTGCTTATGTATTAGGACTACCTGTAGCTGTAGTAGTTGCTGATTGCTGGCATTCTTTTTGGCAGAAAAACAGGTGCAATTTTAACAATACGACTGAGTCAATTAAAAGTCAACACATGTATTAAAACAGGAGAATGAAATCTATATTAATACGCTTGCTTTATATATTTTGCAGGTATCCTGGAATTTATCAGTATAGCAGTCGGCCTGGTCAGCATTCGAGGGGTAGACAGTGGACTTTATTTGGGAATGAATGAAAAAGGAGAATTATATGGCTCGGTAAGTATTTTGCAGTCAAAATGTGGCATTACCTAGTCAGTTTTGATTATTTTTGTGTCTGATGGGCTTTTAAAAAAATATTTATTCAACCATATCATCAGCGATTATGTAATATTAGGAAAATACCCAAATCTACCAATGCTTATTTTTTCCAATTTATTTAATTCAATTTAGGTGAATCTTATATTTCACTTAAACAAAGATGCACATTTTTGTATGCATTTCTTTTGTGCTTAGAATTTGATTTTTGAGCACTATTAATCTGCTTTATGTGTAGGTAATCGACAGTTAAATTCACAGTTTAAGATTGCTGGAAATTTAACAATTCAAGTACTACCAAGACTACTACTACTATTATTGTCTCTTTTATTCATTAAACATGAAACTCAAATCAACTGAACATTTAAACATGTATCACAAATATAACTGACTAGTGCTAATGGTTGATACGGGTTGCTGCCAGCATCCTAGGTATCAATCAGGTATCTTCTTAAGATATATAATGTTCTGAGTAGCGCTGTGTTTTGCAGTTCTTCTGATGTTATTGCAGAAAGCTGCAATTTCTTGATGTATTTTATAAAATTCTTGGACATGGTATCAAGTGCCCTGGTGACAATGGGTATCACTGTTACATGTTTCATCCATAATTGCGTAGTTTCGATGGCCAGGTTGTGATATTTTGTGATTTTTTTTCTAGTTCCTTTTCTTTGACTCTGCCGTCTCCTGGTACAGCCTCCTGGTATTATGATGATGATGATGATGTAAAACTAGAGATTGGGGTGGGAGAACTGAATTATAAAACTGCACCTTTAAAGGAATATTTGAATTTTGGTTTAAATCTTTGTTGAGCCATAAAATATATTAGTTAACTTTATTTCTATCACTCAATATTTCTGTCGTGTCAATTTTGTATGGATAAAATTTATGCTTTGAACTCTGGAGGAAATGTGGTGTATAAATGTAATAGATACATTAATGAATAAGATCCTACTAGTAATTATAGCTATTAGTAATAGATAAATATGATAATCCAGTTGTATTTGCACTGTCATGAGCTGCTGTTTGTGTTATTTCATCTAGAGTGTTATATTGACACATCACCTGGATAGCATCACATAGCAGCTAACTTTCTTAGGTTTCGATAAAAACCTCTATAAATCAAAATTATTTCTTGGTGATTATCTGACAATATTCCTGTAATTCTCAAAAATTATAAGGATGTGTATTGCATTATCATCTGAGTTTTCCAATTTCCCAATATTGTCTATAATCCTGGGATTTCCTAATGATTGATATGTCAGGAAAACCAGATTCAACCTTGTTTGCTTTTTCAAGAACAGCCAAGGAATACAATAGATGTATAATTCCTATAGTGTTGCCAAAACTTTTATATGTCATATAAATAAACAGAGGTAGGACTTGGGGTAGCAGAATACTTAGAAATTCTAAGGCATTCCAGTCCCTGTGGAACTATTATAAGTTGAATGGCATCTGATAGCTATACTGGAGCATGTTGCATTTGGTGGACACAGTAGATGGAAACTGCATCTCCAGAATCCCATCAGGATCATAATCTTAACTTCAAATGCCTTACATAAGCAGTTGCTTAATATTTTTATTAATCTGTCCTCCTTTCAAGCTTCATAACCAAAGAACGCAAGTGATGTCACTGGCATGCAGCCATAATAAATAATCCTTGGGAGAATGCTCTTTTATTCAGAAAAATGGGTCCCACTTTATCTTGTATCTTTTTCTTCCTCAGCTTTAGAAAGTTAGTAAATATTTACAGTTGAAGATGAACTGTCAGTGCTTATTACATATCAGAAAGGCACATTGGGGGTGGGGGGGGGAAGCAGAATGTTGAAGCGAATTGCTTACTAATGTGGGTGAAATACCTCTCTCTACCCCTCCCCCCTCTGTCTCACACACACATGAAGAGTATAAGCTATTAGCCCCAGAATAACAGTGGTTATACTACAAAATATATTTATGTGCCACGGTATTTCTGAAGATAAATGGGCCTGTAAAGAACTTTTTCCTCATTCTACCGAAGCAATTAAGCAGTTAGAGAGTTATTAAATGTAAGCAACAGTCCATGTAAAAAGGGCAGGACATACAGTGCAATGTAATTTCAATTTCCCACACTGAGCAAAGTCATAATTGATCATGCTCCATAACAATGTTTCTCAAATAGGGAAACACAATTATAGAACACTAATATAAGTGGCAGGGAACCAAATGTAAGTTGGGAGAAGTTGGTGTGGCATGCAAGGGACATTGGAAAAATAGCTGGCTGAATTGAAGGGTCTTCCATAGACCAACTGTTTAATAGCACGGATTGTACTCCAGTTACTCTATAGACCAGTCTGAAAGATGTATTGTTTCAGCTCCACATTTCTCTCTGATGTCCAGATGAAGTCAAAGATTGTGCTGAAAGATCTGAGGTCTGATTCAGTGTCTTTCCCCCCCACGATAACTGAAAGCCGTATCTGAGGATATCTGAGTCTAGTCCCCTTACCACTGTAAATGATTATGGCAACAGACATATGACACTTGCTTTTCCACTAGTAAAAATACAACTCTGTTAGCAATCTTATGGACTAGTGAAAGTGCTTATTTGTTTCCCTCCAAGTAGAAGAAGGTTAAAAAATGGTCCCCGGTACTTAAGGGCCTTGATTTATTCTATGAATAGAATAGAATTCTTTATTGGCCAAGTGTGATTGGACACACAAGGAATTTTTCTTGGTGCAAATGCTCTCAGTGTACATAGAAGAAAAGTTACATTCGTCAAGAGTCATAAGGTACAACAATTAATAATAGTCATAGGGTACAATAAGCAATCAAATCATACTAGGAAACAGTCATTATAGATCGTAAGGATACGTGTCAAAGTTACGGTCATACAGTTACAAGTGGGAGGGGATGGGTGATAAGGAGTGATGAGAAGATTAGTAGTAATAGTAGTGCAGACTTTGTAAATAATTGGACAGTGTTGAGAGAATTATTTGTTTAGCAGAATGATGGCGTTTGGGGAAAAATTGTCCTTGTGTCTAGTTGTTCTGGTGTGCAGTGGTCTATAGCGTCGTTTTAGGGGAAGGAGTTGAAAGAGTTTATGTCCAGGATGTGAGGGATCTGTAGATACCGTTTTCAAATAGTTGTTATGCCTAACATACTTTTTAATAATGATCGCTGTTTTGGTCTTGGAATTCTGATTATTAAGTTGTGATGTCTATGTTATGGGGGCCATTATGGGGATTCTCTGCTTTAATTCTACTTGTGTTGTAGATAAGATGTTGTGTCATTAGTAGAAAGAAGGACTGCCAATTTAGTGGGATATAGTTCATTGTTAAAGTTTGGCTCGTGGAATTAAAATGGAAAATGTGGGACTAGAATGCATGTTTGCCTCATTCCTTTCTGAATTCGAATTAATATAGACAGGCTGTCAGAGGAAAAACTGCTTTGTGCTGGCATGAACTTATGTAATTGTGTTATCAAAAGTAGTACTGTAGTATTCGGTCAATTGAGGAGAACTAAATCAGTTGAAGACCACTCTCACTCTTTGTACATGTAGTCCTCAACTTACAACAGTTCTGTCAGGATTCCGGCAGTTACTCCAATTAAATCATGAGCCTCAAGCCATACTCCCAAAACTAAAAAAGATTTATTTGAAGTTAACATTTTACGTCTGGCATTAACTTGGGCATAGCCAACTCTGAGATACATAATTCACTGTCACTCTTGATCCTGCTCCCCACTCCCCCTGGTGTATCATCCATCATCTAATCAGTCTTTGAAGAAAATATGAATGGAATGTACTTTCGATTCCACACTGCTGTCTGCTCTTTGAAATTCCCCCACTTCTGTTGTCAACTATAAAATGTGTATACAAAATGTTTTATGAGTTGACAAGTTCATTTAGTGACCATTGAAAGTTACAACAGCACTGGAAAAAGTGACTTATGACCGTTTTTCAGAATTACGATCTTTGCAACATCCCCATGATCATGTGATCAACATTTGGACACTTGGCACCTAGTTCATATTTACGTTGGTTGCAGTGTCCCTGGTTCATGTGATCGCCTTTTGCGACGTTCCAACGAACAAAGCCAGATTCACTTAACAACCATGTTACTAACTTATCAACTGCAGTGATTCACTTAATAATCGTGGCAAGAAAGATTGTAAAATAATAAATAATAAATGTCTCATTTAATCACAGAAATTTGGGCTCAATTGTGGTTGTAAGTCAAGGACTAGCTGTATTTCTCCCTCAATTTAATTTGGCCTTTCCTAACCTATCTAGCACAGGAACATTTACAGGTATAAATAAAAGACAATAAATTTGTAAGACCTGAGTTCTACATTCCTCTATGTTTCTTCATATAATGGTATAGCCCCACTTATTTCTGTATTTGCAAATTTTATCAATACATCTGAATTTCTGGGACCTTTCAGAATGTGAAACAATCAAAAGAGAACTTCCCAGTTGTTCAAGTGCTTTTTTAAAATGGTGCAATTTGAATGAGGGAACTGAAATGTAAGTAAATGGAAGAAATGTTAAATAGGACCAAATTTCCATTCCTCTTTTTATAGAATCACATATCCCTTCTAAATATTTGATGATTTAAGGGGAGAATTTTAAGTATTTGCAGAAAAAAGCTTACACTTAAAAACAGGTATCATTAAATACACTTTTTTAAAAATGTGAAAAAAATTGGCCTTGGAAAAAATACCAAAGTGAGGTTCTATTTCAGCATTATTTATTTATTAATTACATTTATTTGCCGACCATCTCATTTTGAAGCGACTCTGGGTGACTTACAGCCCAGTTCCAAGAGTCCTTTTAAGACAAAAAGAAATGCAACTGTACATGTGATATATTCACTGTTGCATATTCAAAATTGTCTTACAATATAACATATGAAAAATATGTAAATTAGCCATGTCATTTGCTAATTGTGCAACAGGATTGAAAATAACTATTGGCTGTCTGAAGTATA